AGTAAACAGTACAAGTTCTTGTGTCAGGCAGACCTGGTCATGATCAGTGACTTTTTTTTAATCTCTTAAGTTCTAAGCTTCCATGTCTCCATCTGTATCATCTGTAAACTATATTTTTTTACAGTCTCTAGCTTTCAGGATTTTTGTGAGCATCCATCTCTCTCTTTCCCTCTCTTTTTTTTCTCACATTTTATAACATATTCCTCCAAAAGAAGCTTTTATATTCATTTTGACATTTTTTTCGGTGCCTTAGGTTGAGTTCCTGGAAAAAGGCTCAGGACAGCACCTGAAAGGACTTTTTTTGGCAGGAACAGGCAGAAAGAAAAGATGATCTGTGATGTAGTTGTCACAAAGGCCTTTTTTTATCAATTCCTCAGGAAGCTGTGGTCTGGGATGGCCATGCAGAGTTGTTCCAAAATTTTTTTAGGGTCTGGACCTTTGTACACCTGCATTGAGCAGCCATTGGATGTGGCCTGCTCCAGGGAAGGGGGAATGAGCTTGCATTAGGTGTCTCCCCTTGAGTAACAATAGTTCCCAGAGTTTTTTTAAGCTTTGAGGTGTCAGCAGTCAACATTCTTGGCAGCGGTGGAAATGAGTGCCTTTTTTTTAAACGGGATGTCTGAGTAGTGCGTCACTACATCCTCTGCTCTCCACCCCTTATGTTTTTTTGATCCACTTGCCTCTTAAAGTATCTTTCTCCCATTTAGAAACAGGTTCTCCAGGATTCTGTGTGTGTGTGTGTTTTTTTAAGTTATTTCCGGGGAAAACTTACCCGATAAAGCTTCGTTGGAAGAAACCACAACCCCCACTGCTGCTGCTGCTAGTCTCAGGACTGCAATCAGTACTTTTTTTCTCCCTCCTCTATTATCCGTTCTATATGTTTTAACTCTCAACTAGCACCTCTGCTTTTTTTGTGGCTTACTTGTGGACAGCCTAGAGTCTTCTTTCTTAGAGATTTGAGTTCCTTTTTTTTTTGCTTTTCTTAGGACATGGCTGTTGCTTTTGTCCATTTACCATCAACATTTGGCAGGGGGAGTCCCAAGTCAAAGTCCAGAGCCAAATGTCTTCCTCCTATCAACATGAGCAACTTTTTTTTTGTGATGTTCAGCATCAATTATACCTGTCACTGTGACCCTTTCCTTGGCTCTGATTTTTTTGCACACAGATCCTGAAGTGACCGGTAAGAGGCATAATTTACTATATTCCCCTGTTTTTTTTTTCACCCTCTTGGAACCAGAACTTCTACACTGGCACAGTCCAAATCTGTAGGGATTTTTTTCGCAAATTCTTCAAGTGGGTCATGGGAGTGTTGTAAGTAGGGCTACTCCTACTGTTTTTTTTTACTTCTAGGGTTCATGTGTTTTATCTCATTGGGGACTCATGACCATGCAATATTTTTTTCTTTAGGGCATATGCTGTGTCCTCAACGATGGTGCCTCATCCTCACAAGCATCTTCAAGCTGATGTCTTACCTCTGCCTTCAAAGACTGTTCCACTGCTCTTTCAGCCTGAACATTTTTTTTGGTGTGCTTTGTAATGGGGGACAATTATTCTCATGGTCATATGCTCACTGCTATTTTTTTTCTGCTCTAAAATGTGTCTCTTCATCCAATGCAGTGTTAAGGTGGATTCCCATGTTTTTTTTTCAAATACTATTGAAGTTCTTATAGAAGGGTACTGGCCAAGACCTGCTGGGCAGGAAAGACAGTCCATATTTGGAATGTGTTTTGGTCTTAGTCAAGAAGGGCTGCCACCTCTTTGAAAGTTGAAGGGTTCCAATGAAGTCAAATTGCTGCCAAGTAGTTGATTGAGTCTTTTCTATTTTTTTTGACATTGAGGGGCTTCCCTCAGGGAAGGGTCAAGGTAGCTCTATTCATTCAAGTTTTTTTTTTGGAGGGCATGTAGTTTTGCTCCTGGCTACTAGAGGAACGAGTGTCTCAGTCTTTTTTTTATTCTGAGTGGCACACTACAGCATCCACTACATATAGAAAACAAAACTAATTGTTTTTTTTTAAAAAAAAAAACTGTAAAGAGAAGCTTATTGGAAGAATTTTGGCATAAGGCATTTTTTTTAAACATGTGTTGAACATCTAGAAAGGCAGGAAGCAGGCCAACTCTAAAGATTTTTTTTTTGTAAGTGTTGCTGTTAATTTGATTCCTCTTCAATAACTACTAATCTTGTTTTGATTTTTTTACTCTCAAATTTTGGATTCTTAGGAAATCAAAGGTGATTGACCCAGTTTAGGCCTTTTTTTTTCCTTCAATCAGTCAATGTAGTCATTGAGGTAGACTCATGTTTCAGATATATGTTTTTTTAGAACCCATTCTACCTAGGGAGGGTTTACCCAGATATGGGGGATTCACTGTGAATCTAGCAGCCTACCTAAAAGGTATTTAGTTATATTTTCCCTTTTATTTCTCATGAAGATATTTTTTTTTTACATTTTTGCAACCATATATTTTTTTCAGAACCAAAGTTTATTGCACATTCTTTTTTTTTTGGTATATATAGCCTAAGCTACCATTATGTATCCTATATAAATTCAAGGTGCTTTTTTTTCAGTCCTGCATGAATTGCAGTTCAAGAAATATTTTCTGTAGCTAGGGATTTATTTTTTTTTGGATTAATTTGAAGCATTTCAAATCTTTACTATTGTTAATGGAAAATATAGAAACCGAGGGGAAAGTAAAGTGTGTTACACAGCAGAACTCACCAAAGCTCCTTTAACAAAAAGCTTTTCTATTACGATTCTTGAAAATTCCAAGGGAAATTTAGTGCCAATGCTCTAAAAGTCCCTTTTTTTTTCTCCTTCAATATCTCTCTTATGGTGGATTGATTACATTGATGATGTCATTACTTTTTTTCTCTCCCTGCATCTACACCTGTAGTAGCTTGTTACATTAATAGTCCCTAATAATTTTTTTTCTCTGTATCCACACCCTCCTGAACTGATGCTGGGCTTGGTTCTGTGATTTTTCGTTTTTTTCACAACTTGCTTTGGCTGATGGGACTTTAGCAATCATGACCACGAAACACTTGTTTTTTTTAATATGCCCTCTCTTGTCACTTTTGTAAACCAGCCATCATGAGAAATCCTGGGTTTTTTTTTCGATGATACACGATCCAGCTGATAGCCAGCACCAACTGTCAGACACATGTGTCTTTTTTTCTTACCTTATCTAATCTCAGCTACATTGTTGGTTGAGCCTCCAGAAGACTAACTTTTTTTTGTAAGCAAATTAAATGGCAGTTGTGTTATGTTACTAAGTTTGGGGGTAAATTTTTTTTTTTGCAGTAGACATTTAACACAGTACCTTCTGCCACATTATCTAATCTCAGCCACATTTTTTTTTGAGCCTCCAGAAGACTAACTCTGAATAGTAAGCAAATTAGACGGCAGTTGTGTTTTTTTTCTAAGTTTTGGGGTAAATTTTTAATGGAGCAGTAGATATTTAACACAGTACCCTCTGCCTTTGATTTTATATTTTCTCTTGCTAACAAGAATGAGTCTATTTTTCCCTCTCTTAATTTTTTTTTGTCCCTGGGACTTGCTTTGAACAATGAGATGTTAGCAGATATGACACAAATATTTTTTTTAAAAAGTACGTTTGTATTTTTGCTGTATCTCTTGTTTCTCTTTGTCACAAGAATTTTTTTCTTACTGGAGAAGAAACCCAGTTCTGAATTGCTCCAGCTCCCATGGAGGCTATCTTTTTTTATCTGACTCGCAGCTGACGGCCAGACACGTGAGTGCATCCAGCTAAAGCTGGAACTGTCATGCCAACCTCAGTCTAAATTGATAACCCACAGACGTATAAGCTCAATAAATGCCCTTTTTTTTAAGCCATGAGTTTTGGGGTAAATTGTTAGGCAGCATTACTATGACAATGGATATTTTTTTCATCTCTCTTGCCTAAATGTTATGCACTCACAGCAGCTGCAAAAACACTGTCTTTTTTTTTCAAATGTCCCCATATGGTCTTCTCATTGCTCTAATTTTCTCGGTTCATCCTCTTTTCTCAAGCCCATCTTGGTGACTCAGGTCTGAACTTGATTATTTAGTCCTGTTCCCAAAAGTTTTTTTGCATCACCTGCTACCTGATCAGCTTCGTAAGTCTGAGATTTATGCGGCCTCTCATTTTTTTGATGAAACTCAGAATTTTTGAATAATTGATGGAGAAAAATCACATTCATTGGGATTTTTTTAGTCAATTCTAATGCTGCTTGATAGCCGGCCCACTGCAGTCCCTCCAACAGAAATTTTTTTTGGAACATTTCTTCTCATTTTAATGTTAATCATGAATTCCATATGCAAATTCTTTTTTTTTTATACCCTGCTATACGAGCTTTCTAGGGGAGGGAAACAGTCTACCAGGGACATATTTTTTTTGGTGTTTTTGATTTCTGAAATAAATTTAAATGCTGGGTCCTGTATGTTCTCACTTTTTTTTCTAGTATTATAAGTTACTAATATTTGCCATCTTTCCAGCATTTTCAGTGTTGTGTGCCAGTCATGACTCAAATGACTCCCCCTGAGATGGGACCATCTGGAAATTTCTGTATTTTTTTTTTCAGTAGTCTGTATCCATGTAAAGGCTACTTGGACCAGTTGAAAGACCTACAGCATTTTTTTAGTCTCCAGAGAGCCAATCGGTAAAGCAGAAACACAAATTTGAACCAGTCCAAGTTTTTTTGATCTTTCTCTCTTTCTCGTGCCAAAATAATTCTAATTTCTCTTTCCCCCCCTTTTTTTTTGAGACAGAGTTTCACTCTTGTTCCCAGGCTGCAGTGCAACGGCACAATCTCGGCTCACTGCAACCTCTACCTCCCGGGTTCAAGCGATTCTCCTGTAGCTGGGATTACAGGCATGCACCACTATACCCGGCTAATTTTGTATTTTTAATAGAGATGGGGTTTCTCCATGTTGGTCAGGCTGGTCTCCAACTCCCAGCCTCAGGTGAACTGCCTGCCTCGGCTTCCCAAAGTGCTGGGTTTTTTTGCATGGGCCACTGTGCCTGGCCAGTAATTCTAATTTCTAAAAAGTAGTAAGTATGCATTGTGTCTGGGTTCAAAACTAATATTCAACTTTGTGAGTGAGCTTTTTATATGTTCTCTTTTTTTAAATTCATGAAATGTTATGTGATTCTGGTCTCTGCCTGGATCATCCATTCTTGATTTTTTTTTTCTCTCATAAACTGCAATTCCAAGCTCAGCATGATCTCCTCAACGCCCCTCTTTTTTTTCAATGCTAGTCTAAGTTGCTCACCCACCTAAATGATTATTAACATGAAAGGGCAAAGTACTGTTTACAGGGATAGTTTTTCCTCAAATTCAGAATATAACATATTCATGTGGTACTTTTTTTATTCAACATACTTTTTCTGATAAATATTGTCATTCTTGAGATTAAAAAATCCACTGCACATAAGAAGTCCTTGATTCTGTAAGATATGAATAATACATTATTAAAAGCAGTCATATTTTTTTCTTACTTTACAGAGTAATGTCTGTTTCAATTTGCCTCAATAGGGCTTAAGATGGGTTGGATCATTAACAGTATAGAAAGGAACTATAAGTTTAATGTATAAGATATACTATAGTGTTTTTTTGGTTTTTGAAAGGCTCCTTTTCTGATTCTTGGCAACAATTAAACTATACTTCATTTTTTTTATTGAATCAACCAGAAGTAGCAGGATCATTTTACACCTATAGTTAGTACTTTTCCTATTTAAGTTGAACTGGACTACGGTATCCCTACAAATATTTTGCTTTGCCTAAATGATGATTTTTTTACTAACTGCAAGGCAATACCATTTTCCTGCTGATTACCCTGTCTTGTCCTAGCTTTTTTTTCTCTTATGATTGGCCGCCATTTGGCAGTGGCTACTTAAGCCACTTTCCTCATAATTTTTTTCAGTAAATAAACACTTAAATGCACCAAGGGAGTAGCTTTTACAAAGTCCTTTGTAATTTAAATAATCACCCCCTAATGTTTTATAAGAGTCTTTGAGTGAAGCTTGCTGTTATACTGTCCCATGGGGTAAGAGTATTTCCCCCAAAGATAATGTGAACACATGTTTTAAAGTCTATTTTTTTTTTTGAAGTAAATAGTATGTAGAGGGAAAAAATAATAAAGTTCAAATAAGCAAGCACACGGACTTCAATAATATTGAAGGATTTCTACTGAGAATTGATATCTAAAAGATTCATGGTTTTTTTATTTAACAGGAGGAAGCACAAGCCAATGGGAAAAGTAGAAAGAATGAAATTGACATAAGCAAGAAAAAAGGAGGAGGGGTTCTCCAAACAGGGTGAGTTGAATGTTAAAAAAAAATTTTTTTAAATAAAATCAAGAGGGTAGGATTTTATAAAGTATTCTTAAGTCCCTTTTCTTATTTTTTTCTCCTTTCCTCTCCCAGGAGGCCTGCACCTGTGACAGTAATATTAAATGTCAAGTGTTGTGACAAATGGTGATGCCCTTTCACTGCTCTCATCACCTATTTATGCTAAGCATATAGAAGGCTTCTCTGATTAGAAGTCATTGACAGAGAAGCTCAGCATGGTTTCTTTTGAACAGTCATAAATAGTTGAAGACTTGCGGTATGCATAAAATTAGAATTCCTAATAATTTCCCAGCAGTTTTTTTATCATTTTTTTATAATTTAAAAAATATATTCGGCCAAGGGTTTAAATATACCCTTTTTTTTAATCTTGAGCATCAGGCTAAAATCTCTTCTATTTAATATTCCATTTAATGTTTATTTTTTTTGGATCAGATTCTTATAAGATCAGATCTCTTCTTTGGTTCTTATCGTTGGAGATTATATTACTTTGATGTTACTGGGAAAGAACCCATGTAACCATGGCATCAGAACACCTCACAACTGGAAGGGCCTTAGATTTTTGCTTTGCCTAAGTTACTGGAAGAACCACTTCTAGCGCTATTTTTTTAACTCCACTGCCCACACACCACCACTACTCTGTGTCCAAGGATAGTTATTTTTATTTTTTTTATTTTTCAGTGGAGACATAGGCTGTCATTTATTTATTATTTTCTCAATGAACAAAAGGATTTGAGTCCTTCTGGCTCTTCCTTTTACCAGCTCTGTAAGTTTAATCAAGTTACTTTTTTTTTCTGAGCTTCAGTTTTTTATTTGTTAAATGATATTAGATAATTTCTTAGGTCTCTTTTTTTACTCAGATTATCTTTATATGCTACACTTTTCACTACTGAACATGTTACGTTTAGTATCAGAGAAACATTTATTGGACAGTTTTCTGAGTCCATCTTTCTATAAACTGAGTCTTCATTTTTTTTAGAGCTGGTTAAAATATCAAAAACCAGAGAAGGTCCATAGTGTTTGGCTTTCCTTTTTTTAAACTGAACTTCTATGGATGTTCACCATTTTCTTGGACAATTATGGAAACGTCTTTTTTTTATTTGCTAACTGGGAACTAGACGTTTCTCTTCTGCCCAGTAGCATAAGGTTCTTTCCCCATGTGAGTTTCACAGAGCCCCTTCTTGCCAGTTAACATCAAGACAGTGAGAGTGCGGTGGATTTAGACTGAGCTCACTGTAGAGAAAAGTTTGTAAATCTAGTGGGTTTAGAAACTGGGCTGAGGTGGTCTCCAGCCTCTGGTGGATATGAACTTCCCTTCCCATTCTCTGCTATCTATTTTTTTTTTGGGATAGTCATATTTCAGATTCTGAGACTATAGTCTTTTCCCCCCAATCACTTTTTTTGGTGCGAAACACCACGATTCTTGTCTTGAGAAACACACATCTAGATTATGGTAATTTTTTTATAAATACGCTGTTGTGATTTAACTCTATTAGACATTGTAAATATCTAGACAAATTTTTTTGAACAACATTTGGAATACTGTGCATGTGGGGATCTCCCCATAAGCCATTGAGTTCTGATATTTAGTGAGGGCAGAGGCAGGGAGAGGGAAGTGATTTTTAGGAAAAGGTAGTGTTTTTTTTTTGATTCCCAAGTTAGGCAAATACCATCAAAGCATTTGAGCACTATTTGATTTCCTTTTTTTTTAAAGATAAGAACAAGGTTAAGGACATTAGGTAATTTATCCAAAGTCATATCATTAATACGTAGCAGTAGGTTGCAATAGTTAAATTCATTACCACATAATTTCAGAAGACATTTTTTTTTTAATTTCTTATCCAAATGCCTTGGTGCCACATATATTTTGGGTATCAGAATTTATTTTTTTACAGAGTGCAAATATCATGTACTATATAAAAAGTCCCAGCAAGGTCTGGGGCTCTTTTTTTTCAAACAGATTCATATTTTGGCAGAAAAACAATAATGTTCACCTAATGTGAGATTTTTTTTGTCTATAAACAGCCTCACACCAGTTCAGGTCATATTTTGCAGCCAAATGATTCAGGCCATTTCAGCTTTGCTGCCAAAAGAGTTTGGAGCTTTACAACTTTTTGAATTTTAGGATTTTAGATTTAAGAATTGTGCCCTTGATCATTAGCCTACCTGAGTCTATTCAGGGAGTTTTGAGTTGGCTCTGGATCAAAGCTGAGTTTTCTGACTGGGGAAACTGTTTCTATCCCAGGCCTCCATGCAGCCCTATCTGGACTGGTGAGTGTCAGGACCTGCAGCTCTCACCCTCAGGGGCATATTTTTTTGGGGCTTTTCCCTCAGCAGCCAGAGCTGAGGGCCTTTGGAAACACACAGCGCTCTTTTTTTAGTGCTCCATGGCCTCTGGCGGCCATGTTCTCACCACACCTGTAACATGCTTTGTGTCCAGAGTTGACAGAATGAACTTTTCAATGAAATCACATGTTCTATTATATTTGGGAGGTTTTTTTAAAATATTGGACTTAAATCTGTATAAATTCGCATTGCAGCCAAATTCAATGAAGTTTTTTTAATTTGAAAAGTGATGGATATCTATAGTTAATGAACTAAAGCTGTGTTATGCTATTTTTTTTTGAAAATAGAGTGAGATTAGAAGTGGAAGTGACCGTGTTTTTTCTTCTCCACATTTTTTTCTTCTGGGACAGGAAAAAGCTATTATGTACCTGAAATATTTTAAAAACTGATGTTTTTTTTAATCACTTAAAAAAATACACTATTTGAAATATAACTAGTTGATAGTTTTTTTATTTTTTTTCTGTATCTCCAATTGTTTCTATATCTTAACATGGTATAAACATTAATACTTTCTTTTTTTTGACCGAACATAAAGTTAATGTTATGAGGATATTAAGAATTCATGCCATGACAGCTTTTTTTAATATAGAGGTACATTATGTTGTACCCAAAATAAATTTGACCTTGGTGCTTGCCATGCATTAATCACTTTCTTCTGGGCACAATAGCAGAACACTAACTGGATATGAATAATGGATGCAAAATTTTTAGACCAATTTTTAGCTCTTTAGTCTTTGTACGAACACAAAATGAGGTTAAATTCAGATTCTCATTCAGTTTCAAGTGCTCAAATTTAAGATATTTATAATTTATTAGGCTTTTTTTTTTTTCATTAGTTTAAACTAAATAGCTGCTACAATAAATATATGGCCGTATGGATTTTTTTTGTATTCTATAGGTGTGTTGCCTTCCCTTAGCTCTATAATCAAATTCAGATTGATCAATTTAGGTGATATGAACTGATTTGTGAAACCCCAACAGAGAACAAAGGATGAAGTAGCATTTTTTTTAGATAAATCTATACCATGATAGGTGAGAGCAAATTCATGTAAATGAGAATAATTTTTTTTATATCTGATGATAGAGTTAATCTAATTATGAAGTTTTAAAATCAAATTAAGTCTTTTTTTTGAACTTCATGACTGAAAAGTATATATGCTAAGAGTTAATTCTATCTTCTGGCTGTTTTTTTACCAGTATCTCAGGTTCTAGAGAACCTGAGATAAAATACAAACTTTGGTCACTTACTCATGTATGATTGAAGATTTATCTTTTGTTGATTTTATTTTAACAGAAATAATCCTCATAAAGAATGAAGAGGCAGCCAAAAGGAGCCATAAAGGAGAACCTGAGATTCTACAGAACCTGAGATACTGGTCTTTATCCATTGTATTCTAAGGTTTAAGAGCATAACTTGAACTTAATTTAATTTTTTTGTGCTCAAGAATGCTAGATTTATTTTGTTAATAAACATAAACATTATCAATGATTTTTTTTAAAATACCTTAGTTTTTGTAATCATATCATATACAGCAGCTTCATCATGTGCCTTTTTTTTATTGTAAAACAAAATAATGGGAGGTGAATATAAATATATGAATAAAAATAGAAAAGCTAAGTCAGTTTCTATGATGGAGAAAGAATACTTCTGTATTTATTTTACATTTAGAAAAATAATGTTCAATAGTCAATTCAATTGTTATTGGACATTGCTTTTCCTACTAAAGTTTGATTACATAAAAGTGTTCAAAAGATGTTTACCCATAAATTATATTTTCCTTCCTGCTACCAATATTTTTTTTTTCAAATTCTCCTTTAAGACTCTTTTTGGCTGCTTCTTCATTCTTTATGAGGATTTTTTTTGTTAAAATAAAATCAGCAAAAGATAAATCTTCAATCATACACGAGTAAGTGACTAAAGTTTATATTTTGCATTAAAATTAGAGCCTAGAGCTAGTTAACAACTGTTTTATAATTATTTTTTTTTTCAGTTTTCTCAGATACATTTTCTCCTGAAGGAATGTGTGGGTCTATTCTCTTTTTTTTGTCTCAGTATCATGCTGGTACCTATTATTTATATACATCTAAGTAGAAAATATTTTTTTTTATCATTGTGGAATGAGAGTGGCATGTCTCAGTATTGTTTTCAGTTTGGGGCTAATTTTTTTGATTATTACGTTATATGTTAAATTCCACGTAGTCCATAAAATATGACTATTTCCTTTTTTTGTCAAAAAATAAAAAATAATGCAGTGCATGATATGGTTTCTAGTGAACTCACTATTTTTTTTCGAAACAACATAGTAGTGGTGATTTACTATGTACTTTATTGATGTCATCAGCATTTTTTTCAAAATCACAGTCCTTTCTTGTGAGATGATATACCATGCAGACTGGGAAAAGTATTTTTTTTGCAGAGACTGACAATCAAGAGCAATTAGTAAATGGTTGTTTTAAATAAAACGTTTTTTTTAAAGACTATGTCAAGTACTTTCAACATGTGCATGTGTATTGATTGCTAAGTCTTTTTTTTTAAAGGGCCTTCTTCTCTGAGACTTTAGCCACTCAGTAGCCAGTACCAAAATTGTGACCATGGATTCTTAAGTAGATCACCACTTTCCAGGGGAAAGATCTTATAAATTGAACTTATTTTTTTGAACTACACATGAAATGAAGTCACTTTTTTTTTTCTTTGAGACAGAGTCTCACTTTTTTTTCCAGGCTGGAGGACAGTGGTGAAATATTGGCTCACTGCAGCCTCCACCTCCCAGTTTTTTTCGATTCTCCTGCCTCAACCTCCCACCTCAACCTCCTGAGTGGCTGGGATTACAGTTTTTTTTCTCCATGCCCCGCTAATTTTTATATTTTTTGTAGAGACGGAGTCTCACTATGTTTTTTTTGCTGTTCTTGAACTCCTGGGCGCATATGATCCACCTGCCTCAGCCTCCCAAAGTTTTTTTTTTATAGGTGTGAGCCACCGCTCCTGACCTGAAGTCACATTTTTATCAGCTCCTAAGACCTACTATAAAGCTGGCCATATTGCAATAAAATAAGAGCTTTTCTATATCTTACATAATTTTTTTTCAGAATGTTCATTTGGGAGTATAGGTTATCTTGGTCTAGACTTGACTGCCCTGATATGGCATGACAGTAAAATCCTGTAAATTTATATTAAAAATATGAAAGGAAGAGAGAAACAGGTGACAAGACCACTTTGATTCTCTGGGTAGTTTCTTCTCTTTTGCACGCCATTATAATCTTTTTTTTTTAATAACATGCATTCAATATTTTGTTATATATATCTATATATTTTGTGATATTTTTTTTCACGCATTAATTTCCACAATAAGTGGGTTATATACAACTATGGAACAAAGCCGATTTTTTTACTAAGCTGGGGAATTCTTTTGTAGGGGTGTAATGCTAACTCTTGTAACCTTCCTTTTTTTCCGCTTCCATTGCTGACAGATGCCTTTTGCAGGTATTCCTTCAGGAGTAACATTTGTTCATCTATTTTTAAGATTTTGAGAGTCCTCATAACATTCCCTACAGATCAGTAATAGAACTTAGAAGTCACCTCCAATGAACTGATGAACTAGGAGCATTATAATATTGAAAAATAGATCACCTTATAAGAAATAAGATAACAGATACCTCAGATTGGCCTAGTTGAGAGCCAAATTCAATTTTTTTTTAGGGTAAACAATTGTTAAGTATTTGCCAGAGTGGGCTATACACAATTCTGCATTTTTTTAGTCTTTATTTAATGTAAGCTTTACAATCAACAGTGCTTTAAGAAACCATTGTTGGCCAGGTAAGATGGCTTATGCCTGTAATCTCAGCACTTTGAGAGGCCACGACAGGAGTATACCTTGAGGCCTAGTGTTCGAGACCAGCCTGGGCAACTTTGTGAGACCCCCATCTCTGTTATTTTTTTAAAAAAATAGCCAGATGTTGTGTTGTGCACCTGTAGTCCCAGCCACTCAGGAGGCAGAGGCAGAAGGATTGCTTGAGCCCAGAAATTTGAGGCTGCAGTGAGCTATAATCGCACCACTGCACTGCAGCCTGGTCAACAGAGGAAGACCCTGTGTCTAATGAAAATTAAAAAATCATTTTTTTTGGTCAATTAGAAAGAGATATGGGGTTGCCGAAGTTCACAGCAGTATTTCTTGAATTTTTTTATTGAGAAAAATGGGTCTCCTAGATGGCAATAGGGGCCTGGTGTGGTGGCTCACACCTGTATTCCAGCACTTTGGAAGGCTGAGGCAGGAGGATTGCTTGAGCTCAGGAGTTCAAGACCAGCCTGGGCAACATAGTGAGACCCTGTCCCTACTGAAAGGAAATTTAAAAACGATGTTTTTTTTGATGTCTTCCATGGACTCAGTTATGACAATTAGGCCATTGGTAGTTATATCCCATTTTTTTGCCTCATTCCCTACTTTAATTGCCAAACCCCGATCCTCGTACTATAATACTAAGTTTTTTTTAGTATGATTTACATTACTTAAGATTGTAGTATTTCTGAATTATGTGGATGGTGTTTTTTTTGATTTTGCTTCCCATTATCCCTATCAATATAGCAACTAGCAGGGAGCGTGTCATTTTTTTCCAAATGTAAATTAGATATATATATTTTTTCATTCACTACTTCTAAAACACAAACTATACGCTCCATTTTTCTCACAGAAAAAATCCCCACACTCAATGATCTTACATGATAGTGGGAAAGGACATGTAAATATAGAAAGAAGTATACAATATGTCAGATGGTGATAAGTTCTATGTTTTTTTATAAACAGGATAAGGGAGATGGAGATACTTAGGCAAGCTAGGGAAGGGGTTCCTATTTTATATAAAGTGGTCAAGAAAGCTAGTATGGTGAAATTGCTGTATCTTAGAAATAGCATTTTTTTGAAAGAGTGACCCCTGTGACTGTCTGGGGTAAAAGCACTTCAGGGAGCGGGAACAAGAAGGGCCAAAGTACTGACATGTGGCCTGTTTGTAGTGCCCCGTGCAAAACACCCAATGTGGTGACTGACAACGGCGAGAGGGGGAGAATCTGTATTCAGAGAGATCATAGAAAACCAGATTTTTTTGGTCACTTTAAGGATTTATGAAATTATTTTAAATGATTTGGGAAACCACTAGAGTTTTTTTCAAAGGAGTGACCAGATCTAATTATTCTAAAAAGATCAGTGGGCTATTTGTAGATTTTTTTCTGGCTAACATCCTATTGAGTTGCAAAAGACTGAATGCTATTCCTTCAAGATGATTTTTTTGGAAAGGATCTCCATGCTAACTACTTCTATCCGACATTGTACTGAAAGGCGTAATTTTTTTAATACAATAAGAAAAGGAAATTAAGCGTTCAAAGTTGGAAAGAATCAAAATTATTTATTCTTAGATGACGTTCTTTTTAAAGTGTAGAAATCCTAAGGAATCTGCAAAACAACTAACATAACTAGTTGAATTTAACAAAGGTGTAATTTTCCAGGTCCATATAGGTAAATAAATTATTTTTTTATATACCAACAAAACAACTGGAAAATGAGATAAAAAATACAATTCATAATAAAAAAGAACCATGGAATACCCATGGATAAATTTTATTCTACCTTTCCAAAACCTATACACAGAAAACTACAAAACACTGTTGAGTGAAACTGAAGAGGACTTAAGTTGGAGAGCTATATCACATTTTTTTTTTAGAAGACATACTATTAAGATGGCAAGCCACCATGAAATAACAGCCAGTCTAACTTTTTTTTGAGACTTCAACTAGGAGAAACAATCTCCTACTTGGGAATCCAGAGTGCTTGGGTTTTTTTCTCTGAGATTTACAGATATATGTGTGAGTAGTACTTAGTGAAAGTTTTTTTTTTTTTTTTTTTTTTCTGGGAAAAACAAAAGACTTACGATTGTTTATATGAGGTAAGGAGTTTTTTTTTTTCCTGCTTTTTAGCAAACATGTAGTGTTAACCTTCATTACAAAGGCCAGTGCCTTTTTTTTTCTTATTTTGAAATTAAATCAGCATAACTTGAAGTAAAAAAAAAAAAAAAAAAAATTTTTTTCACTGAAGCCAGAGTTCAGAGTATCTGATGTTTAAAAACTCAATTTATTACCTTTTTTTTTTTATGGTTTTATTAATTTGTGGTGTATTCCATCCAAATCTGCTACTTGCTTCAATTTTTTTGATTCTCAGGCCAATATTTTATGTGAGTAACAGTCAGGTTTTATATATGGCCACTTTTTTTGTAGTAAATCAGGAACAGTATTAGATAATTTGTGGCATATGTAGATATTCAGAATTTTTTTACTTCTGTGGATTAGAGTGATTAATGAGTACGCCTGGACCAGGGAGTTAGAAATTGCCAACACGTGGTTATGTTTTGCCTGCTCCTCATTCCTTTCCTGCCCCCTTCTTGTTTTATTTTTTTATTTTCATCTTCTAGTGCCACTTTCAGATGGTCTAGATGCATACACTTGCTATGAAAGACAAAAGGGCATTTTAAAAACTGTCCTGACAGCACAGCCTTGCTAGTTCATTATTGCTTTTTTTGGACATCTGATCCTCTTCCTAAAACAAAAGTGTTGTTTCTTTTTTCTTCTTCTTTTTTTTTTTTTTTTTTTTTGGTACTGATTCTTTAATTTTCAACTGGGCCAATGAATAACAATCCCATACAAAAATGACTGGTTATTCTGTTACATATCTGGCTAATAGTTTATCCTGGAAGGAATACAGGAAAAAAAAAAAAAAAAAAAAAAAAAAAAAAAAAAAGCGGTGTTCAAAGCTAAGGATCTGAGGTTACTTTACTGAGAGTTTATTCTGCCAAGGCCGAATTCTGGTTTTGTCTGCCTTCAAAGTTTTACAGGCTAAAATTATTTTGACCATGCTCTTTAGAAGAGAACTTTTAGACTTTGCTCATTCGTTTATCTTAGTCCTGGAGGAGATGGGGAAT